TTTTTTTTTTTTGCTGTATGTTCAAAGACACAGTATGAGAAGGAAGAGCTGACTCTGGGTGTCTTCACTCAAGGAGCAAGGAGCACTTGGGCAGCTCCCACATTTCTGGGTGATAATTCCCCTTCTGTGATCTGGATCCATGGATTCTCTGACTTAATTCTAAAGCAGCCTGAAGACACAGCCATTTAATTCAGCAAACTACTTGTCACTACTTAACTGAAATTTAGGCAAATTGGTCCAAGGAACTATCTGTACATGACTAGTATTTTCAGATTAACTTTGAAATGGGATTTTACTATATTTATGAATACAAGCAAAACATATTTCCAAAGACAAAGGTTCTGGTGGATTGACAAGGGTAGAAATAATTTGCAGAATCACCCTCTGGAATACTAAAAGACTGTGAATTTTAGTACACTAAAATTCCCAATGTGTTTTGGAATCTCCAATAAATTTTTTAATTGAATTGAAGGAATTTTGAAAATATGGTTCTCCCCCCCCCCTTTTGTTTTAGCACTGAATGAGGGTACAACATGAATTAAATTGATACTAACTTAGGGTTTTTGTTCTCATAAAATAAAGGGTGTATAAATCCATTCCACCTGAATGCCCTGCAATGGATAACTCCAAATAAGAGTAAATATGAATGATATCTTGTCTGTTCCCTCTCACTAGTGTATTTTCTCAGAGTCCAAAAGCAGTCCTATAACCAAATATCTCTCTGAGTTCAAATCGCCCCACAACCATTTAATTGTGGTAACTACCTAGTAACCCAGGGAAAAATTATTCTGTTTGGGCGATGCTTTCATAAAATTAGGATCCTTTCACACTTATTCTTTAACTTTGCAAGTGTCATAAGCTTGTTATCTTGTTATACCTTCTGGCCGGGAGACTATTCCAAAAAAAAAAAAGACCCCATTTGTCTTCAACTGTGATACTCTCTGTTTAGAGACCATCTAGCTATTTAAAGCACAGCCCAAGTGCTCCTTGCTTTATTGTAGGGGTGGGAAAGGACGACTCTCCTCCTAACATGAATAAATATGATTTGATGATTTGTTAAGCTAACCAAAGAATACAGCACACAGCATTTGGAGAAGCTTTTGTATTTGAGCTTAAGGTAAATTCATATTTCAGGCAATTATAATGTATGGAGTCAGCTCTCTTCTCTACAGTGTAGATGAATTAGGAGAGCCCAGCTTTGGGAAAGACCAGATGTGGAAAACATGGCTGGGTGGAAGATATGGTCCTCTTTTTATGTAATGGGGCCACCAGGTACTTTGGTTTTATTCCAATAGTGAGAAGAAACTCCCAACTCTGCTTAAGTAGCAAAAAACATTCAAAGATAGGAAAAAAAAACCCAACAACTGTGTAAAGTCTACATTTTACAAGTTGGTTGGGTGGAGGGAGACTGCCTGTAGGGTAGGGTGGTCCTACTGTTCACTAAAGCTTCACACTGTTTCAGTGTTGAAGTTGGGCCAAACTGTTAGTGGTTGAAGGGAGCTTAGGACATACATGGTGAAAACCTCATTTTACAGATGAAGAAACTAAAGTAAGTGATGTGATTTGTGACAAGCCAGGTGGAGAAGCCACTAAACTGCTAACGCAGAAAGCCCACATCAGAAGAAACAATGGCAAATGTTCCTTCTGAGAAAGAAAAAAAAGATTTTCTATCCAAACCATGTCTCTGCCTGAGGAGAACACTTGTGCCCACATCATACCTCATCTGGCTAGCCGGGGTTGCTGGTCACTTCACAAGATGGCTCTTTTATGTGTGTCTTTGTTCTGTCCTTCAGAGCCTGGGATGATACTCCTCTGTAATCTGATAAGCTTTCTTGCAGCCCTTACTAGCAGGTGTCACTTTGCAATTCTGCCCATGGTTTTCTGGCTGATACTATAATTATATTAGCCACAATATAAATAAATTCACCTGTATCCCAGCTCACAACAATCCACCTACTGGGGACAATACTCCTATCTATTATCCCCAGCTCTGGCTTTGTTCTTCGTTCACAGGACACATCTTCTTTACTCTTTTCTGCCTGCTCCCAAATGAACTCTTTCCACAACTTCCAAATCAGCTCCCCACCATAGCTGACCATGTTGTGTCTGAAGCACTACTGGTTGCTGCGTCTCACCAATCCCAGTCTGGACTTCACTGTCTTGCATTAAATTTATAGCAACAGCACTTTCTCTAGCTTTCCTCCTTGTAGTGACCATGACCCAGTAGATCTACCCTCTGCACTGATGGTAAGTGTCTGTCCTAAAGGAAGACCTCCAATCAGGTCATTCTCTTGACCAAAACTTTCCAGAGGTCACCCATCATCTGCAGAATGAGATCCAATCTTCTTCACCTGGGCTTTTAAGGCGCACTCAAGCTGGATCATCATTCCACTAGAGTGCCAACTGGATGCCATAACCTGTGCTAGGTAGTGCAGAACAAAACCCCTGTCCACACTGAACTTTTCTATTCTAGGAGATGGATATGGGGTAGAAACCAGTCATGTATATACTCTGTGTGTGCATGGGTGTGAGGGGCCATGAAGCAGAGAATACTCTGGGATAAAAGAGGAATGGCACCTAACCCAGATTGTGAGGGAATAAGATTCTAGGGACATAGGGTTGTGAGTCAAGTTAAACTTTTCAGGAAAAGTCACACAACTTGAAACGTGAGAAGGGAATCAAACAAGTGAGAGGAGGGATGATGAGTGATAGTGCACAGTTTCAAATGGAGGATGTAGCATGTACCACCTTATCTTTGAACTCTTCTTCCTGCAAAATTGCCCATACCACCTCCTCCTCAACATCCTTCCTTATTTCCCTCTTGTTAACCTTTCCAAGTTTTCAAAGTTCATCTCCATTGCCATACCCTTGAGCTTCATTTAATAATCTAGCTGGACCTCCATACCACTGTTGCAGAGTTGCTCAGTAAGCACTCACGGAGGGAATTTCTACTGCCACCACCTATCTGTGGTCTGTAGTACCTTGTGTCTGGTTTAGGGCGCTGGCCTTAGCTGGCCTTCTTGTCTCCTGCCTCTTCTATGTATTAAGTGGACTTCTTCTTCCTCTTTTTTAACCATCACTCAAATCTATGAGATGAATCCCCTCCAATTACCTCTGCTTACTCAATTCCACCTACCTTTCATGTTCTAGACCAACTCCATTTCTTCTCTCATGTGACCCATCCCTATCTGCTCTCTCCCTTTTCCAGCTGTCTTTGGTCTTTAGGGTCAATGCAATTCTGCCTCTCTAACTGGACACTAACTTCCTTGGGAGCAGGGCCATCTTCCACATGGCTCACCCCAGCAAAGACTTGACAGAGTGGCAAGGAGCCACTGACTGGTTTCACATATCTTTATTCATAGCTTTGAGCAGAGAGAACCAAGAAAACTGAGAGGTCACTGGGGAGAAAAACAGACCCACAATAAAGATGAGCATGTGAGCTACGATGCAGGGGAAATTTATAGGGTCTTGGGAGGAAGGCTTGCCCAGGGTCAAATCCAGTCAGACACACCACTGCATTTTTCTTTTTTTTTTTTTTTGCATTTGTTTTACGCAAGCGGCTTCACTGGAACACTAAAGAGTTAGGGGTTTTTGCCTTCAAATATATAACTTTGCCTCTTTGAGCATGACACTACTGAGTTTCCACTGGAACAGAAAAGGGAAGTATTTTGCAACAAACTCAAAGGAACTACTTAGGATAGTTTTAGTTACATATATGGTTGTTTTATAGTTTTCTTGTTCTGAGATCACCCTCCAAAAATCAATGATTTGAGACAAAATGTTCCTAGTATGTTTGAGTCCCTGATTAAACTTTAAAAATTACCTGTTTCAGAGATATAAACTTTCAAGTTTCAATAACATCTATACTTGGGGAAACTTCCTCTTTAGCATTTCTTCATACAAACGGTCTGCAGCAATTGGGAAAAGGAGGAGATGGTATTCTACTTTAAAGCTTTATCTCACCCCACCAAAATGGGAGATGTTTCCTGACGACAGTTAGTTTATTAATTTCTGGCAGGCCTCCAGGGTTAAATAGGATTGAATTTACTTAGAGGCTATGCCACAGCCTCATGCAGGATCTTTGCCCTTTGCCAAAGAATAAGGCAAGTCACATGGAAGTCGGGTCTGTAAGGAAACTCAAAAGGATGAGGACCTTCTGTGCTTCATAACTGACCCCTCAAGAGAATAAACCCGAGATGAAAGTTCCCCTTTGTTATATGCAGTTTCAAGACAACTATCTTTTCCATATCCATAAAGTGGGGAAAATAAAGTTGAGAAGCAAATCTGAAGTCTTACATTAGCAACATATTTTGCAGGTGCAAATGCTTGTTATTCAATTAAACCTTCTAATGTCATTCTAGGAGTTCATATTGTGACAAATCTTCCTAGTTAGATAGTCTCTAGGAAACTCTACTTTTATTTTTCAGGATTTCTACAAGTCTTACTTCAAAAAACGTGCGGACTCCACGGTAAATCACTCAAGGCCCTTTGAGTTATTGCTAAACTTGCCCTGGCTACTGGTAGCTCCACATTTCCCAGCCCTTACCTCCAGTTCCCTCATTCCTATTTCCTTCCTGTCATCTGGCCTCAGCAATGTCCATGTCCCTTCCTTTCTTGTTGTTAAACGAACAGTTCACAACCTATACTCTCTCTCAGCCATCTCTTAAAAGTCTTCAGAATCAGGAGCCAGGTAGACAGATGCAAGGGCAGGAATGGCATTTTCTTCTTTGTCTGGTGGCACAACTAGATCCCTTAATTTCCAATGTCTGTAGGTCATAAGTGGGTTACCTCTCCAAACCTCAAGTCTCCCCTTGATCTGGAAACTTCTCCCCTAAAACTGGCTTAAGTCAGTGGAATCTTCCTTTTACAAAAGTGTTACTGTCATCTGCCTGTGATGACCGACTGTGGAGGTTCTACAGGTTGGAAGAGTGGTGGCAAAGACCAACCACTGACTTACAGATTTTCCACATGGAGCCCATATGAAGAGTCCAGACTCTCACCTGAATGAGGAGATCGATAGCGGAAGTCCTCTTTGGTCAGCAGCAGGAGCGCCTTGCCATTCATTTCGAATGTGTTGCTGTCAATTGGCCTTAAAGAAAACTCATTTTCAGCCCACTTGAGCCACTGGGCTACGTCATCCCTGCTCCAGTAGATTGGCTGCAAGCCTGTTGGAGAGAGAGCAGGGCAGAGAAAAGAGGTCTTATCAGTTGGACAGTTGGTATAAGGAATAAAGATCTCTGAAGAGTTAAAAAAAAAAACGAGTCTCCATGTCTCAAGAGCCCCGTTGCTAGATTCCAAGTCCCAGGTTAAAACTCAGGCTTCCTAAGTGCTGTCAGATTATCTTTTTTCTTGCTTTCTTTTTTTTTTTTTTTTTTAAGAGGAAACCTTGGCCCTCCCTTTTTAAGTGTCTGAGGGATGGTAAGTCTTAAAACCCTGCCCCAGGGTCTGTATTAATTCCAGCCTAAAGTAGCCCAGGGGCACAGATTTAAGACAAACTTCAGCTAGGCTTTGGAGGGGATCTTAGAATCAGAGCTGATCTGACTATAGCCCAGTACCCTTTTGAAGTGAGAAAGTTTCAAAGTTGGCCTTGACCTTCCAGAGCTGCCAAATAATGAAGTGTTCCCTGAAAACTCTTCCAGGAAGACTTACTCAGCCCCTGGGAAACCATCAGGCTAGCCTCTGGGAATAAGAGGGCAAGGTAAGGATGAAAGATCTTTAGCCTTTTTATTGGACTTGCTGATGTCAGAGCTTCCTGGGGAGGTCCTTCTGAGAAGGATCAGAAGAGGATGGTGGGAGGTCTGGAGTCGAGGCCCAGGGTGGCTCAGGTTGGGTCTCTGGGAGCCTGGCTGGGAGTCCTATATTTTTATATTGGTCTGCTGCTGTGGGAAACCTTTGATATATCATTCAAGTGATTAGGACAATGGTTCCCAAAGTTTGAACTAAAGAACCTCTTAGGGTTCCCAAGACTTTTGCTGGATATCTATGTAGTACCAAGTTTTTTCTTAATAATATTAAGAGATTCTTTGCCTCTTTTTCTCTTTTTTCCTGACCAGATAGTGGAATGCTTTAGTGGCTACATGACAAGTGATAGTGCAACAGATTGAATGCAGAAGACTTGAGAATTTAGTTATCTTCTATAAAGTGAGGTATTAAATAGACTTGTAAAATTGTCTAATGCTGCTACTTTTTGCACTGATTTTCTTTTGTTTTAGAAAACATTTTTTAAAAATATATATTTATATGAATGTACACTTGGCTTACTCTTTTTCAATGTTAATAAGTATTTTTAAAATTCTGTTTTAGTTTATAATATGGCAAATAGAGATAAGACATAATCCACATGAGCAAAAGTTCTTAGGAAGTCTTCAAAAAATTTTTAAGAATTAAAAGTAATCCTGACAGCAAGAATTTAAGAACCACTGGGTCAGAAGAAGCTAGAAGCTCAACAGAGCTTCAGTCTCTAAAATCACATGTTATGACTCAGTAGTTCAAATAGAGAACAATGGAATCAATGTTGGCTAAGAGAAGCTTCAGTCTCTCAGTGTAAGTTACTTAAACTTCCTAAGGAGACTCCCTGAGTGTGTCATAAAAGTGTCCTTCAGTTAGATCTTGGAAAGAATCACCTTTTACCCTGAAACATGTATGACAATGAACTGTGTAGTCTACTTAATGGGCTGCTGGAGTGGGGAACAAATGGCTGAGATTCCTTGGAGAATATCCAGGGTCTGGGCACGATGTTGGCTCCAAGTAGCTCCTCCCTGGAATATCCTTTTGAAGAAAGGTAGTTGGCTTCCTCTGACTCTATGGAAGTCCACTTAAAGCCAGCCATCTTGTAAGGCACCAATAAAACACTATTGGGCATCAAAATCATTAGAGCCAGGCATTTAATTAAGAGTTTTTCTTTTTTCTTTCTTTTTTTTTTTTTTTAAGGGGAGTTATTTTTTTTCACATGGAAAAAAACCAAGTAGCATTATAGAATAATGAGTAGTATATGATTGTTTCATGACCATTAGTTTAAAACATGGCCACTAAAGGATTCAAAGTTTAGGTTTTGACTATTGGCTGAGCTAGAAAGCAATGCCTGTTAAAATGGTCCAGGATATAGGAGGCACCCCGCTCTTTACAGTGACCTCGAAAATCCCTATGGGGAATTATAGTGAGGTGGTAGCTGCTCAGCAAAGTCTCAATTTTTGAGCCAGTGAAAACCTTCACATTTCCTACAGTCCATGGTGTCCCCTCTGAATGGGACCAGCACAGTGATTAGCTGTTACAGATGTCTACCTTTCTGTCCTTCACACAAGGAGCAGGAATACAGTGGCCATTATGGGACAAGTGTCAAGTCCAGTCAAGCTTGGCCTACGAAAGCCCCTGGTGGAGAGAGGGCCAGAGAGTACAGGATGCTCAGGCCAAGCAGGGAAAGCACGGGGCAGCTTGTGGGAAGTGCCGGTGCCAAAGCAGATACAGAACTGAATCTTGCACGGGAGGGGAAATGAAAGCAAAATGCTGAAGTTTCTGCGGAGGACACGCTGAGATGGAGGGAGGTGAGGAGAAGTGGGCGGGGGGATGCAAGTAGTAATTTGAGGTTCTTTATATTCTATGGAAGAAAATACTCATGAGTAATCTTTTCCCTAAATACAAGAAGAGTCACACACTGCAAAGGGTGCTGCTGGTTAAGAACAACTGTTTCTCTTCTCACTTCCCATTAATCGCTCCCACAGCCCAGTCCTTGAGGCAACCAGGACCCCAGCCAGGTGGGAACCCCTCACTAGGAATCCACCTGAGGCTCAAGGGACCCAGAAAGTGACAGAGAATACTTTGCAATCCAAGCAGTTTTACAAAAGTGACCCTGATGGAGAAATCTACCTGCTCGAGGCCACTCAATAAATGGATCAGTCAACTGCTCTTCCATTAGCATAAGAGAGAAGGTGGACAGCTCACTGATCTCAAAAGAGGTCTGCTACACTTTAGGTGTTGGAAGTCAAGTCCCCAAGCGATTTCCTTTTTAATTCCACAGAATAAAAAGGTTTGGTATAAGATGTGCTTTGCAATTCTAATGGAGGAAAAAGAAGCCATTCCCTCAAACCTATCCTTTTGTGTGTTAAAGCTTCTGAGTGGAACAGAGAATAGGACCTGGAGGCAACTCTGGTCTAACTGAAACCATTTAATTGACTAAACAGTCATTTATTAAGCACTTTTATACACCTTGCACTGTTGCAATCACTTTATAAATATTAGTTCATTTAATTGAATGTGCATATAACCCTTAAGATAGGGGCTAAGATTAGGAAACTGAAGCTCAGTACATTTAAGGGATTTGCTCAAGGTTGTACGGCCCTAGGAACAAGATGAGCTCAGATTCCAACCCAGGCAGTCTGATCCCAGGGTCTACATTCTGGTCCATCACTCTACGTGTACATACACATTTCCCTTCCAGATTCAGAATTGAGACTGGTTTTCAACACCTCTTAGGATTCAAAAAAGACTGAAACTGACTCCTACCTATTCAAGATTGAGATCCTTGGAGGCATTCTCAAGCTACCAAGAGAACAGAAATATAACGAAAAAAAAATCTTTAGATCCTCAGAGAAATAGATATATAAATGGGAAGAGGAGGGAGGTATGGATGAGACTCTGCTTTTAATGCCTCCAGAAACAAAGCACTACTTTCTGGGCTGCTTGTTCACTGCACTCAACTGCTCACAGCACTCAACTGCTTGGACTCTTCACATGACATCACAGCTGCCGACAGGACAGAGGCTGCCTGAGCAAGGTGAGAGGCGAACAAGTATAACTTGTTGTACAGTTGTCTCCTGAAACCTTGACTCAACACAGCGAAGGAACATAGGTGTTAATGATTATTAGCTGGGGAGCCCGAGACAGACACTGTATTGTTCTGCACCTATATACTACTTCCTGTGCACATAACAAACCCAGTGAAAGCGATTTACTAAAACCAGCATGTTTAATGCCAACTAATTTTCAGAGACTATTTGAGAAGAATTTTGCACAGAGGAAATGAACTGCTATGATTAAGAAAATCATGCCTAATTCCACTGCACTTTTTTCCCAGGGGGAGTCGAGTCAAGTTCATGGTATCATACCTTATGATACACCCAGGCTCTTAAACTTTCTTGATATCTTTAATTCCATGTTCAAAGTGGACAGCCACATTCATCAGGGCAATCTTACCCTCATTTCAGTCTTTGAGTTATGCTTATACTAAAGATGGAGAGTGTGCTGGGAGTCAGAAGCCTGGATTTTATTCCCAGATCAGCCACTAATTAACACGTGATTCTTGGGACTGAAGATGTGGCTCAAGCGGTAGTGCGCTCGCCCCGCATGCGTGCGGCCCGGGTTCGATCCTCAGCACCACATACAAACAAAGATGTTGTGTCAGCCGAAGACTTAGAAAAAAACATTAAAAAATTCTCTCTCTCTCTCTCTCTAAACAAAAAAAAAAAAAAAAGAAAAAAGAAATTAAAAACAACAACAACATGTGATTCTGGGCAGGCTGCTCAGTTTCTCCCTGGCTCAGGGGCTTCATCTGTAAAATGATGGACTGAGAATATGAGAGCTCTATTCCCTTCAGGGATTAGAACAGTCAGTATGCTCCTATTTTGTTTGAATCTTAAAAACCAAAGACTACAAACTGCCAGGTCCTTAATTTTTCTACAAAATTACTCCATGTTCATGATCATGACCCTGAGATTTTGTAACTTCCTGAAGGATCTTCTGAGTCACGGCAAACAGATTAGTGTTTAAGAGCGTCTTATATTTTCATTCTTGGAAAAATTTGTAAGCCAGCCATAGCAGTGATCAACACAGCAGTTTACATCTTTGGAGTTGATGAGATGCTTCCCCATGTTATCACCTCATGTAACTCCTGCAAAGTAGGTTAGATTCTCGTGTCAATAGAATGGATGAAGTAATGGAGTCAGTAGATGTGGTTTGAGCAATACGCAGTTCAAAGTTCTTTCATTATAGTAGCCACTTAGCAAAATCATCCTTCATCCCAAACTTTATGCATAAACAGGAATTTGCTCTAGATTCTATGGGTAGGAGGGCAGAATTACAAAGTGAGAGAGACAGGAGATGATCGGAGATTGTCCAAACCCTATTCCATTTTAATGATTAGGAAACTGAAGCCTGGAAAAGTTGACGAACT